ACTTCTTTTTCATCGACTACTGCAGAACCGATAGTAATTTCGGTATCCTCCTCATCATCAATATCCAAGTCACATAGATCCTCCTCCTCTGTTATTAAAAGTTGTATAATTCCATAATATAAAAAACATTGGTTAAAATTTCTCATAAAAATTTTGAACATACTTTAACAACATACCTTCTACACTAAGTATAGTATGTTCTTCCATTTGACAACTTTTTATTAATTGTGGCATAATCGTGCTTAAATATGATGCGAATTCTTCTTTAAATACTCGAGATAAGACCGCAAATAAACAATAACTACACTCGCGAAGACGTGCCGAGTCCTTATGCAGACCTTCAATAGCTAGACGCATAATATCATCAACATACGGCTAAAAACAACATACAAAAATCAATTTAGCTTAATTTGTAATAACTTAGCATATTTTAAGAATTCTACGTACTTGTATCACTTCCTTTCCCACTGCCTCAGCAATTGCGCCCACAGTGTCCGTAGCTACTCCACGTAAAACAATGTCTTCTTCTGTTTGACTTAGTGACATTAATATCTGTAGTCGACTGATCACTTGTTGGAAATATGGCTTAAATTCCTATCATGTCACCATTATTAATATTTAAAACGAAAAATAATTTCATCGAATGTTCAGTGATAGCAAAATGAAGAATTACTTCGCCAGCTGCATGAGCAGCACTTCCAATGGCCGCAATAACGGCATCTTTTATTCCATTTGGGCCATTATCCATTAAAATAAGAAGCCTCTCCATCACTGCAGGTAAATATTGAAGAATTTCATCACCTAATCCTTCTAAAATAAGATCAAGCGCATTGCAAGCTTGTTTTACAATCTCAGTGCTTGTGTCGTTCGTAAGTTCAAAGATCAATGGTAACAAAGTTGCATGATTTGCAGCAATCTCTTGATCTAGTTCCTCTATATTTACAATATATTTAAAGTTTCAAGATCAAACTTATTATCTAAATTGATTAATAAAAACTATGTAATTGTACCATTCAGACAAACCTGCTAAACAGCTTAGCGCTAAGCAAGCACCTCTACGAACAATAATTTCAGGATCGCGTAAACCATTGTAAACAATGGGTAATAAGTCATTGAATTTTGGGCGTATATAATCTGCACATCCTTCAATAAGAACCTTAAGAGTAATTGAGTTTAGTCAAAATAGGAACAAGTTATAATTGAATATCCCAGATGACATCAACAACATACTGCAAAAGCCATCATTCCAGCTTTCCTGAATTTTGGATTAGAATTTTGAACGTATGCGGTAATGTAATCCATAGCAACAGGAAAAACTTGTTGGGGTGGCAATTTCGTCGCCAAAGAATTTATTACTCTAAAAGACATCTATTCAATTCAATTATGAAATTAAAATGTAATGGTAAGTGTATAGTGTGATTGTATCTTTTTAAAATACATTGATAATTACTCTAGACGGTGACTCTTCGTCTATATCTTCAGGGTCATTTTCAGTACCAATTGGCATTAATTCTTGGATAATGGGACCGATGAGCTTAAGTCTTTGAATTTTAGCTTTTTTACTGAATAGTTATGTTACGTAACGAAATTACTAAAATTATTTATAAATGATTCACTCGCAACACGAATACTTACTATGTAGCAACCCATATTAAAAATTGTAAAGCTATTATACGAACGGGTTCATCGTATTCAATATTGCGTGCCACAGTCAAGGCAAATTCAATAAGTTGTGGTAAATGATTTGACAAAAGAGGAGCATCCTGAGACATAAAATGAATTAAGTTATTAATAACAATGAATGATGACAAATATGAAATTTTTATAACTTTATATACCATCATGAGCAGTGTTTCAAATAGCTCAAAACCTTTAATTGTAGAGTCACTATCACCGTCTTTTAAACATTGTACAAGAATGTTAACCATAGGGGGTATTAAATCTCGAAAAATTTGCTAATACAAATGGAATAGAAATATTTCAGTCAAGGGGATGGTAAAATAATATGATTTACTTAATTTTCATGAAAAGTCATACAATCTCTTCTTTTTTATCTGGCTCTATAAATTCTGCGATTCTTCCTAAAGCTCTTAATAAATTCAAAATGAATTTAATATATATTTTAACTAATCATATCTATTATTAAAAAACATGAATAATAACTAAAAACTTACTGCATAGTGGTTACACGAACAGATTGACTTTCAGGGTCGTTGAGAGCATCGCCAAATAATTGTAATAATTGAAGAAGATTATCCGCAAACACATCTTCCATGACTTCCAGCAAAGTAAAAAGAACGAATATCCCGACCTTGAATAACAAATTGTTATATTCATGGTGTTTGAAAAATGTTATTTTCAATTAGTTTTAAATAGTTATTCACCTCACGTTGACCAGCATTTTGACTTTTACAACATTGGTATAAGAATTGAAGCAAATCATTCCAATTGCCAGCTGGTATTTCGATTTTACCGATGGATGATATAACACGTGCAGTAGCATGACGTACAATATTTCTAAATTATATTAAAATTAGAAAACGAAGCATCGTATAATATACGAGTTAAATTTGATACATACTCCGGTTCTTGTAAGATAATCTCAAGCAAACGTGATTTGATCGCTGATTGTGAATTTACATCAATTTTTGACCACCATTTAGGACCGCGCTTCCTTAATTCGATAGCTGCAAGCTGCCGTACCTAATAAATCAAAATCACATAAGGATAATAATCAATATATGAAAACATTACTGTACTTATATTAGGACACGAATTTCAAACCTGCCAACTTGGAGAACTCGATAATATGTGAACAAAAGCTGGCACACAAGAAACTGAATTATAATCATTATTTAAAGCAGAGGTGGCCTTAAAACATAATTAAAAAGGTTAATATGCGTGATATTAGATGTCGCGTATTAAGAATATAGATTCGCCGCTATTCCGTTCGCATATGCGCATACCGTTCTTATCCGCGCTGTATCGGTGTCATTAGAAACCAACTGAGTAAGCAATCCTTCTAGCCCATTAATAAATTCTTGTTGCTGTAAAATACGCGTAAAACAGTAAAGTCAGAAAGATTTGAATATAAAGATTGTGTAGTATTTAATAATCTGTAATTACCTCCATTATTTTATAAAAAAAAAAAACGCAATTCGATTTTTTTCGTCGTCCTGATTAAAAATTATAGGGAAATTTTTTGATTTGATTGGTCGATGAATTAGATGTGATATGATTTAGGTCGGTTCGTGTAATCTAATCTATATATGGTTCGAGACACTTAAAGACTTCACAAACTTTAAATGCTAATAATATTTAATAGAAAATTTACTACAACTTAGCAGCTTTATTTTTTAAAAAATCATTGTATAGTTTTTCAATTGAGTTTAAAGAATCTAGTATTTTCATATGATTTGATCAAAAATGGGACAAGTCACATGTTTTGGCTTATTTTAATTGGTCAATTTTAAATTTATTTCAAAATTAACGTTAAATTTTAATTAACAATTAAAATTTTAGCCAATCAAAATGCGAAAATTCAAAAAGACATTAAATTTCAATATGAAATTTTTGAAATGGGACAGATCACGTAATTTCAGTCTTTAGATGTCCTGCACCATAGAGATAGTAATACTGTAAAATCGATCAGCCGAATTTAAAAGAATCGACCGGCTAAGCCGATATTTGCTTTTAGCCGATTTTTTCATTATCGGCCAAGATCACTAGGTAAGATTATAAAATTAAATTGTTACATCGGCTATGACTTCGTTAGTAAAGTTTTTAGTGATGGACAAAATTAATCAATTCCGGCACATCCGGCCAGGATTCTGATGCATTCCGACCCGGAATGTTGGTGATCCCCCTCTATGAGTTATTGACGATCACGCCATTCGTGTCAAGCAAAGAGTATTACATATTAGCAAAGAAAATAATGAAGGTTTATGCAAAGGAAAATTTTTAACAAAATTTTCGCAACAATAGATAGTCCGTATAGCCTCCAAAATTTGTAACGTTTTTTTAAATCCAGATTAATGGGATTGAACATTTAGATAAATTAGTAAGAGAAAAAGGGTGTTTATTCACAATACAATTATAATGTTAAATTTTGTTATGTTTTCTGTGTAATAGTAACAAGATTGTTTTGACCTGAGTTGTAAATTTTTGACGCGGTTGAACCGTTTTGACACGGTTTACTATAACCCGGTTCTAAACTCTACTGAAGGTCGCAATAGCTTCATCTTCAGAAGGTAGCTCATCTGTATCTTGCGATAGCATTGATAAACATGCTTTCTCAGTAGGCGAAATGTCCATTATATAAAGATCATCATCATAATCGCAATTGATGAAGCAATCAGAAGCTAGGTTGGTAGAATTAACATTTGATTGTGTTTTTTGATCTTTACTTGTTGAGTTAAGCTCTTGGTTTGGTTGAATTTCTTGAGAACAATCTGGGATAGGAAAACTAAAACATAGATTGTATTAATAGTCGACTAATTATGGGAACATTAAATGATTTGTGATCACTCATATCGTACTCTAATTGGACACAAAGATCATCATCATTATCGCAATTGAAGAAGGAATCAGAAGCTAGATCGGTAGAATTAATATTTGACTGTGTTTTTTGATCTTCACTTGTTGATTTAGGCTCTTGGTTTGGTTGAATTTCTTGAGAACAATCTGGGATAGGCAGACTAAAAGTAAATAATCATATATTGTATTAATAGTCGATTAATTATTGGATTAATATTAAGCATTAAATTAGATGTGATCATTTATATCGTACTCTGATTGCACATAAAGATCATCATCGTATAAGAAATTAGGAGCTAGATCGGTGGAATTAGTATTTGATTGTGTTTGTTGATCTTCACTTGTTGACTTAGGCTCTTGGTTGGGTTGAATTTCTTGAGAACAATCTGGGATAGGCAAACTGAAGTAGATAATCATATAGTGTATTAATAGCCGATTGATTATTGAAATAATCTTAAGATTAAATTGATGTGACGTACTCTAATTGCTTCAGTAAACGGACTTGAATTGCATTTATCGACCTATGCTCATCAGCAAACCCTCCGAGAATAGTTATATTTTCAGGACCAAGAAGTAAGACACCTCGTAGAACTAAAGCTTTACTGACTGATATCTACGGAGTAAATGTTTATTGAGAAATGTTTACCAGTTCTTTAAAGTATCTCAATTATGATAGTTATTTCTATTCTTGCACACCTTTATCCCAATTGGAGTAAGTAAATTCAAATTTGAAAGAGGTTTGTATTCTATAGCATCAACCGATTGATAACCATCAGTTAATTGAAACTTAAGCATACCCCGTGGAAATTGAATTGTCTCATATTGCTTATCACTTATATCATTATATTTATGGCCCTGTTTCACAGAACCTGACAGGTAGCTATTTACTACATCAAGAAGTGATTGTGCAGAAACACCAACTTCAAATATGTCAGCTATTTGAAGAATAATTGGCTGATGTTCACCAATAGTAATTTGGTGCATATCTTCAATTAGTGGAGGAAGACGTGGCTTCATGGATTTATTTAAGTCAGAATCCAAGAAGTCATTGTAAATTGCTTGATAAAGTCGTTTATTGTCGAGATTTGTGTTTTCAGGGTAAAGAAGACGTGGTTGTAACCACGTATCTTGAAGGTAAACATTATGATTGGTTTCAAATTGATTTTTTATCGATGACATAACACGTAAATTTGTTTTGATTATCCTTCGATGATTTTAAAAAGGACAGATCGACAGTAAGCGCTAAATTATGTAAATTATGGCATGCATGCCCTTTCTAAATCATGTGACACATATAGTTCGCGAGTTCGCAACATTCTAAAAACTTCATATGGGGGTGTTAGTAGAAACCAAGCTTCCAAGTAAATTTTTTTTAAACATTAAGTTAAAATATCTAAACAACTATTAAACCAAACTCGATAAATTTTTTTATTTTATTCTATATAGTTCGTACAAACATATATGCCTAATGATAAAATACCTTTGAAATAAAAGTTCTACAAAACTACTTTTATATTGAGCTAAATTGAAATAATTATAGAGTTTAAGACTTTCTGCACAGAGATAGCCAAGGATTCTCCAGCTCCTAAGTAACATTTAACATTGCCTTAAGGATATTGCGGCAAGACTGGTTTTTTAATAAAGTATAGGTCATTTCATCACTTCTAATACGTATACGTATCATATTCGCATATTATTCCGATACATTTTAATATCAATTCTTTAGATTGTGTCATTAATCTTTTGCAAATACGCACAACTTAATAATCGCATTGACTATATATAGAAACATTCTAAAGTAATTGGCTAATGGAAGTGTAGTGCAGTTACGTACAAGTTGTTAATATTGCTACGTATATACTTGCAAATAGTAAATTTTACATAATAAATAGCAATAACGATAATCGCATTGGCTATATATAGAAACATTCTAAAGTAATTGGCTACGTAACGCTAATGGAAGTGTAGTGCAGTTAATATTTGCTATATATTTGCAAATAGAAAATTTACATAATAAATAGCTAACGCTAACGAAACTTCAAAATTTTGTTCTTCAACTTTACTTGCTTCTGAAAAATTTAATCTGATATAATTAGATTTGTTAGCGATTTTTCTTTTTCATATGATCGATTGTATTTTCATACAGGACGTTTATTCTATGAAAATTCAAGGATCGAAATAATGCTTTTAAGGGTACGTAGGGTATTTTTGTTACGCATTTAGAAGTTACACAAACACGATTGCGCAAATATGATTGGTGTAGCCATTTGCTGCGCCAATCACGTTTGCGCAATTGTGTTCGTGTAACTTCTAAATGCGTAACAAAAATACCCTACACCTTAATAGAGAAGTCTAGAATTATGCATTGGTTGTCGATCCCTGAAATTTTATTGGATAATTATAGTAGATGCTCTATCACTATATAATCAATTTTTAATCATGCTACCTATCGTTGTATCAAAATCGAAAAACTTTTTCTTAGTCCCTCATTTTTAAAATGTCAGGGTCAGTCGTACTTAAGACTTCTATGGTAAGAGACTTATGTGAACTTTGTATTTTTCAATAGGTTTTCAATTAAGACAGGTTCTTTATTTAAGCTAATAATGAAACAATAGGGAGAGATCGTTTTAGAATTATACTGGGATCATGCTCCAAAAACTTGTAAAAATTTTTATGAATTGGTATGCATTATTTTGTTTATCATCGTTATTATTATTATTGTTATTGTTAATTAATTCGATATTGTATAATTTGGATCATTGTTAATATTAGGCAAAACGCGGATATTACGATAATGTTATTGTAAGGTTTCAATTTTTATTAATGCTATTATTAATTCCCTTTTGAATAATTTAAATTATAACCTAATAAAAATTTTACGATTACAGTTCCATAGAATAATTGAGGTAAGTCCAGTAAAACTATTATTGCTATAATTTTACAGCTGATCTATTTGATATGAGAGCTCATCAAATTATAATCTCTAGGATTTCATTATACAAGGTGGTGATCCAACTGGAACTGGTCGTGGAGGTTCGTCGATCTATGGGTAATCCTTCAATTTGTATTATTTCTCTTCAAATTTTATTGATGCTATTATTTAATCTTATAATAACCATATTAAATATTTTTGATTATATTAATAGCAAATTCTTTGAAGATGAGATTCATCCAGATTTAAAGCATACAGGCGCTGGTATCTTAAGTATGGCAAATTCTGGTCCAAGCACAAATGGCAGTCAGGTAATTGTAATCTTGTTCGTTTCCAATATTCATACAATATATTATAATCTCATTCAATGTATAAATTTTAAAGTTTTTCATAACGTTGGCACCTACACCGTGGTTGGATGGTATGCTTTTTTTATACTTATTTTCATTAAAAAAATAAATAAATTTTACAATTTAATAATATCTTGTTTAAAATTCTGAAATAGGAAAGCACACTATTTTTGGAAGGGTGAATGAAGGTATGAGAGTTGTCAAGCGCATGGGACTTGTTAAGTGTGATTCCAATGATAGGTAAACATTTTTTTTTATCCTTATGGTTTATATTTTATAACTGAGAATAAACACTGAGAATTTTTCATTCTGTTTGTTTATTTAAAGTTTCTGAACATATTCTTCATAATATTTATCAATTTAGATTTCATAGATAAATAATTATAAATTTTTGTTAAATCTTCATATATAGGCCAGTAACTGATGTAAAGATTTTATTTACAAATGTTATTGATTAAACAAGGTAAATTGCAAGTTTAAACTACTGTTTTAACTTTTCTTATTGTTGTATTATTTTCAATTCTATTAATTTATCACGATTAACTGGTTCATAACTAAATTAATTTTTTTAGTGATTTAAATAAAAGGGAGAAATCGACATTTACAAAATTATAAATCTACATGCGTCCGACCAAATTTAGGGTACGTCTAAAGCCGTGTGCGGTCATATTTTTTTGACTTTTTAATTAGAGTTAGGTTTAGACATTCGTTTCTTATATTTTTGGTGGTTTCACTTTTTTTCTTCAAAACAACAATTTTATTGGCTCTGTGTCACGTGGCTGCACACGGCTTTAGACGATCCCCGGATAATTCCCGATCAGTGCTGTAGAAAGGGGAAAATCGACATAAAAAAATTTTCATCATAAGCAAATGCAGATTTTAGAGAGCTATACTGCAAGATTTTATTAATGCAATTAAGTTTGTGCCTTAAGTAAAAAATGATCCTAAATTGATTTACACAAAAAAAAAGCTTTTGAAAAATTTGTCGATTCCCCTTTCTGTAGCATCTAGCACACGTGATTGTTAGAAACCCAAACTGCGCTTTATTTTATTTCAAGAAAAGAGACAAATGAAATTAATTATATATGAAATAAATGTAACAAAAGAATAAAAGTATTGTTTAATCGTAAATATTCATTATTATTATCAGCAAACAATTTGTATCTGGCGGCACTATCTGCTATTTATATAAATATCGATTTTTCGCCTTTTTGCAGCACTTATTGTACAGTATGTATTAAATGTTATTGATTAATATTTAGGGATTTAAGTTCAATAAGATGAGTATAATGATATTTTATAATCGATACAATTAAGACACTCGCCATCTCAATTTATTTATTCATATTAATTTAGATCATTATAATGACTTTTGTAATGTTGCTATTAAAATTTCCTCTTAAATACAAGTAAAATTTAAATTTTTGACATATTGTGTGGCATTTAAATTATACCATTTACATGTCGAAAAGTTTAAATTTTACCAGTGTAATTAGTATTTTATTAATTAAATTAGCAATACTTACTATATTGCCATAAACTTTTTAATTTAAATAATACAAAGATATTAAGTTATTCAAGATTATAGCATTATTATAAAATTATTATGTAATTTTATTTGTTTGTATCAGGTTGGAATAAGTAGAATTATTATATTATCATCTAAAATGAAATTATAAAAGAATTAGTTGTTAATAGAAATAGTATAATTGATCATGTAGATTGTATAAATCATTGCTTATTGTTTGTACTTAATATATATAAATCTTAATATTGTTATAGTGCTCAGAATGTAATCTTTATTATGAAATCTCACTTGCTAGGTTGGCAATGGAGCCAGTGGTGCTCAATGGTTATGCAAATGGTGCTCAAAAACTAGTATCTATTGGCTCCATTCACAGCTCCATTGGACTTCATTGCAACTATGAGTCATACCTGAATTCAATTCGCCAAATTAAATTGACAATTTTCTGATTAGTTATTTTATGTTTGGAGCGTTATATCTCCAGAATTGATTTTTCAAATATAAAAATATTCAATTTTATTAAGCTAATGTATAATAAAAATTACTGTATACTACACATAAATAAGAAGCGATAATTTAACTTGAATTAAAAACCTTAAAATTAGTCCAAAAAAAAAATGCCAAACGGCATATTTTTCATATCCAAAACTGTACTAAAGTCTTATTAAAGTATCGATTTCTATCACGAAAATGAACTAGCAACCAAGAATACAAATTCGCTGAGGTTATAGTATAAAAATTCCTATATTTCCTGCTTTACAAAACATTAAAGTAATTCGGTAATCTGAGATAATTCGAAAGTTAGATGGTGCTACTTTTGGGTATTCTAAAACTTTCTATATATTAAACTTTAGGTATATATGGCTAGGTGCTGCAAAATTGACAAATTTTTCAAAAAAACTGTTTTGCGTAAATAAATTTAGAATAAGATTAAGATCATTTTTTATTTAAGGCACAAACACAGGTGTATTAATAAAATCTTCAGTATAGCTCTTTACAATTTATATTTTCTTATGTTTTTCATAAAGATTTTTGATAAATTTAGCAGGTTGTGATATCGCAGGTTAATATATATTTAAAAAAAAAATTAAAATTATTATTAGTTAGGGGTCCGAGCTAGTACAGTAGTATTAGGATTAGAGTTAGAAGGCATATATATATGCAAAATTAAATGTTAATTAGAAGCCCAATACTAGTTTACATAAAATTTTCTTATTTTCGTTCATTTTTGTTACACAAGATCCTGTGATCTAATTGGTCGATCATATTAACCTGCGATATAGCAACCTGCGATATTTAACAATATTCTTTATAAAATTTATAAAAAAATTAAAAAAAATTAAAAATTGATTTTCCGAAGATCTTTTTTTGTCAATTTCCCACTTTTTATAGCACTCGGCCTATATGGTTTCGCAAAGATGTTTGCAGTTTATAAACAATAGGCTAGATGGTATGTTTATTCCTTACTATTTTATTTTTCAATTTAGTTTTATTCTATTTTGATCTTTACTAATATACTTCTCTTCGCAGAATGATCTTAGTTAATATTGAATAACAGTACGAAGTTTTAATAGCATTGTCACGATAGGTGACTGTGAAATTTAGTGGTTATTTGTATTTAATGTTGCAAATGACGTTGAATCGGATAACACTGAAATTTTGATTTATTTTATGTGAGATTTTTAAATTTTTTGAGGTGCTGGTTCAAAGAGTTAAGGGTTATTGTTGTTAGCAAGAGCATAGGTGGATTTTAATAGACTTTTATTTTAAAATCGAGACCTTCAAATTTTAGCATCATTCGCGACATTTAATGAGTATGTTCAAAAAGGCGAGAAGAATTTATGTTTATTGATCGAGTAGATAAAATTTATTGATCTCATATAT